TTGCAAACACTAAGTTTTTATAATTTAAAATTTAGCTGTTTTAATCCTAGAACTCTGGAGGCAGAGGCAAGTTCTAGGCCAGCTTGGTCTACATTAGAGAGTTCCAGGCCAGCCAGAGCAACAAAGTAAGACCCTGTCTCAAAATAACAACAAAAATAAACAAATAATAAAAATGTAATTAGCAAAAGAGATTCATTTCAGTTTTTAAGATCAAGAGGGAATTACACAGATGCATAGAAACACACCTCACATACAGCCACGCTCAGCATTTGGAAGCTCAGTGAAAACAACTTCTAAAAAAATACATATACCATGCTGGGTATGGTGGTATATATTTTTAATCCAAGCACTTAGGAGGCAGAGGTAGGTACATCTCTAGAAGTTCAAGGCCAGCCTGGTCTACCTAGCAAGTTCTCATCTCTAGAAGTTCAAGGCCAGCCTGGTCTAGAAAGTAAGACCCTGTCTCAAAAAGCAAAACAAACAATAAAAAACAAAATGCACAACCCCTTGATGGCTGTTCAATGCAATACTGTTCGCATAATTTATACTAATACAGACTTCTGCCAAAATTTCATTTATGATCATGGTAAGGCTGAATGATTGAAGCTGTGACTTTGGATAGCTGGGATTAATAAGTAAGTCAAAGCTTCCAGACCAACCAGAACTGCAGTTAAATAAGGCTCCAACTGTGATAAGCAGCTGCTTAATCTTTCTTTTTAAACATAATTTCTTTATTGATTCTTTGGGAATTTCACATCATACACCCTAATTTCTCTCACCTCCTAGTCTCCCCATATCCACCCCTCATGTCTGCAGCATCCCCCAAAAGAAAAATTTTTAAATAATCAAACCAAAATAAAGCAAGCAAACAAATAAAGACAAAAATAAAACAAAACAAAAAAACCCTCTTCGGTCCTCCACTTTTCCCATCTCCCCAACATCTCTTCATTCACCCTGGTGGCACTGGGATCCGTGGTGTGTCACTCAGTCCACTCTTTTGTCCAATCAGCTTTACTAGCAAATGCCCATTGCAAAGAGTCACTGGTCTGGTTCAAGGCCTCTGGTTTCTGGGACACCGTCATCACTGGATCCTCACTGGAATTCCTCTGGGATATCCCATGGCCACCTGAGTCATGGAGACCAGTCCCTTCACTAAAAGCTCCAGCAGGTCCTAAATGGGGCAGATGTTAGGGAGGGCAATGCAAGGCCCTGCTGTGAACCTGGGCGGTAGCTGGCCAGTCAGTTTGGGCCACTGGGGCTGCTCACCGCAGGCAAAGGAGCAGGGAGCCAGCTCCCTACACCCATGCCCTCAGGGTCAGTTCTCCCCTGCCTGTGGTGAGGGGTGGGCAGCTCTCTTGATGCAGTGTCCAACAAGAGACCAGGCCAGCTTTCCCAGGGCCAGCAAAGGACAGGGTCAGCTCAGTATGGCCCTCTGATTCCATCACGCATGGTTCCTATGACCCCCTGAGGTGACGTAGGCCACAGACATCAACACAGACTCCGACATGGCCCGCAGCAGCAGCTTGGACCATACATCCTGACTCGGGGGGTGGGGTGGGGGGGTGGGAGAGCAGTGAGCACTGGTCACTCAGGTCGGGGTGGACTGTCTTTGGCAGCAGCTGGGTCTGGATGTCACCATGGCCCCAGGCAGCAGTGCAGGCCACTCAGATTGGCACAGCCCCGGCAGCAGCGTGGCCATCAGATACTAACATGGCCCACGACCTCAGCGTTCCGAGTGGCCTTCAACGGTCAGGAGCCTCGGACATCGACACAGGCCCTGGCTGCAGTAGGGCCACGGATCCAGACATGGCCCTCGGCTGCAGCTCTGGCCCAGACATCACCACGGCACTGAGCAGCAGTGCAGGCCACTCAGATCTATATGGCCCCAGCTGCAGCATGGCCCTCAGACACCAATATGGACGCAGTGGCTGACCTGATCCTGGTCATCCACACGGCCCTCGGTGGCAACAGGAGCCATGGACAACAGTCTAGACCCTGGCTGCTATAGGGCCATGGACCAGACACAGCCAGCCCTTGGCAGCAGCCTGGGCCCAGACAACACTGTGGCCCTGAATGGCAGCACAGGTCACCCAGATCAGAATGGCCCCAGAAGCAGTGTGCCTCTCGGACACTGACACAGTCCCAGATGGTGGCCCAGACCCTGGCTATCTGCAAGGCCCTCAAGAGCAACAGGAGCCATGGCCATCCTTGCAGCCTTGGCCCGGACGTCACCATGCACTGGTAGTAGTATGCTTCTCTTTCTCTCCCATTTCTCCACCATATACTCGCTCATCATAATGGGACCCACCTGCCCAGTGCCACGAGGCACCAGGCAGGCTGTAGATGTCTTCCCACCAGCCTGGGCCCTCAAGGGTGGGTGGCTAGCAGGCAGGCTGTGGATCACTGCTTAATCTTAAACTCAGGTTTTTTTCATCACCATGGATAAAATTTTAGTTAGAAAGACTAGCATTAGGTTTACACAAACCTCAACACAAGACTAGTACTCAGATTTACGTTCATTTTTCATGCCCTAAATCAGTGGTTCTCAGCCTCCCTAATGCTCTGACCCTCTAAAACCGTTCTTCATGTTGTGATGACCCACAACCATAAAAACCTTTTTTGTTGCTATTTCATAACTACAATTTTGCTACTACTATCTAAGTATTTTTGGAGCTAGAGACTTGCCAAAGAGGTTGAGAACCACTGCCCTAAATGAACACATTTTGCAGCTACAGGGAGCATCTGAGCCTTGGCTAACAGCATGATACACACTGTGAATCTAAATCCTTTCCCCTTTGGACCCCAGGGGTGAGACAGAGAGGGAAAGTGATGACTTCCCCTCTCACCTGGCTCCTCCCAGGATCCCAACTTCCCAGTGAGGGTACAGCAGCCCCATATGGGGAGGGTCGGATGGTAGGTGTTGGGATTCTCCAGCTCGTGCCCCCCGCCCCAGATGTTCAGTGGGACTCAACCCAATCCTCCTATTCCAAACCCTGCCCTCAGAAAACCACCAAGTGGTCCCCACTCCCAGCTGCTAAAGACCTCACCTAAGAATACTTAAGCTCCGCCCCCAGAGCAGCCATGGGATTCCTCTCCCACTTCCTTTCCCCAGTCACCCAGGAGTTGCTTTGCTCGGATTAAACCTGGTCTTATTAATTCGGCCTGATCTGACTTACAGCATTGATGGAGAGACTTAATATGGTGCCCAGACACCTTTCAGTAGGGTCTCAGCAGGGTCCCAGCACCCAGTCCACCGAAGCTCTGCAGCTGTCCTGTGAGCTACTTGAACCACAGCAACAATTCCTTTTCTCCTTAAGTAAAAAGTTAGCTCTGAGTGCTGGGGAGCTGGCTCAGATGTTAAGAGCTCTTACAGAGGTTCCCGTATCCACATCAGGTAGCTCACAACCACCTGTGACTCCAGGTCCAGGGGATCTGACACCCTCTGGCCTCTGTGGGTACTTGCATATAAACTGACAAGCAGATACACAGTGCTGCACACATGCACACATGCATACATACATGCAAATACTTCAAGCTCTGGTGCTTGGCAGGTAGCTCAACAGACTCAAGGTTTATAAAGCATGAGGGCTTGAGTTCAGGCTCCTAGTATCCAGAAGAGGCTGGGGAAGAGGCTGTGTGTCCCTGTAACCCCAGGGCTTGGAGGCAGAGACTGGAGGATCTCAAGAGATTGTCTGGCTAGCCATTCTAGCAGAATCAGTTAGCTTCAGGTTTCACACACACACACACACACACACACACACACACACACACACGTGTGCATACATTAGCTCTTACCATTTCTAAACAAGAACTCAAAGCACACATTTTTTTAAACCAATAAACTAAAAGTAAGTCAGTAACTATTTTAGTATCTTTTTCTCCATGATTGAATATACAAAGATAACGGAAGTAATGTATTCTTCTTCTGTAAAGATGGATGGAATATATCAAAATCCACTCGCTGGATCTTCTTTAAATAGTCCTCTAGAGTAACCTAGAAAAAGAGAACAGTGGTCACTAGATCATAGAGTGATCAGGTTTCCCAAACAAAGGAAAGAAAAGCACAGCGTGGTGTGGCGGCCACAGCTGCAGTCCCAACACTCAGAAAACTGAAGCAGGTGGGCTGCCACAGTCTGAGGTCAGCCTGTGCTACATGGTAAAACCAAGGCCAACCTGGGCTAAATAGTAAGACTCTGTCTCAAGAAAAAAAAAAAGGCAGATGTGACAGTTCATACCTGTGATCTGAGTTCTGAGGAGACTGAGGCAGAAGGATGCAAACAACTCCAGTCTGAGCTACAAAGAAAGGGAAGGTACAAGTACTAAAGCCACGTCAGTTTCCTGAGGTGATGTCACACAGTGAGAAAAACACTTCTCTTCCCCTAGACAGGTCTCTTTATGTAGCCCCAGGGAGCCGAGAACTCATTATATAGACCAGGCTGGCCTTGAACTCAGAGATCCTCCTGCCTCTGCCCTGTGAGTGCTGGGATTAAATCTGTTGTCTTAGTTAGGGTTTTCATTACTGTGACTTACAGTAGTTCAGAGGTTTAGTCCATCATCATCATCATCGTGGTGGGAAGCATGGTGGCACACAGGCAGACATGGTGATGGAGAGGTAGCTGAGAGCTCTACATCTGGGTCCCCAGGCAGCAGGAAGTGACAGTGACACACTGGCCAGGCTTGTGCTGCTGAGACCTTAAGCCCACCCCCTAGTGACACATCTCCCCGATAAAGCCACACCTACTCCAACAAGGCCACACCTCTAATAGTGCCTCTCCCTACGGGCCTATGGGGCCATTTTTGTTCAAGCCACACAGCTGTGTGCCACCATATCTGACCAACCTGAACACTTTTACAGGTCTATTATCTACGTGTGTCTGTGTACAAACACAAGTGTCCAGTCGCTTCGAGCTGCCTGACCTGCGTGCTGGGAACTGAACTCAGGTCCTCTAGAGAGCGGTGTGTGCTCTTAACCACTGAACCTTCACTCTAGCCCTGACACGAGAATTTTCAAAGAGAGAGAAAATAAAGACCTCTTCCCAGAAACTTCTAGAACATAAGGGTATAACTAGGAAGAATATAGCAGAGTAAAACTAGTGCTGCAACCATTGGGCCTCTTTTGATCACATATATAATGTTTTGCTCAAGGTCTAAGCATCAGAGGAGCTGGGCTCATCTTCTGAGGAATTAAAAAAAGATGTCAGGTTGGGAGCAGCTTGGCAGTGGGAATGACCAGCAAATGGAACAGCTTGAGTTTGACGCCAAAGACCAAGAAAGGTGATTGTTCTTCCTTTCGTAATACTCTTACTGAGGATCAGCAGGTACCCGGCTGGCCTAACTAAACAACCCTCTTGCCCTAGGCTCTGGAGTCGTGGGACTGCACAGACAGAAGATGATCAAGGAAAACGAAACACCTCCAACTATGTCAGGAAGCTCAAGGTGGCTGTTCATTTGTGAGATCCGACTCTCACAGCACCTGCAGAGGGAAGAGGGGTGTCGAGCCCCTGGAGCCAGCTCACACGGGTGCTGGAATTGAGCCCTGGTCCTCTGCAAGAGCAGCAGGTGCTCCTTACCACTGAGCGTCTCTCCAGACCCTCAAGTTGGACTTTTAAAAAGTTATGTTTTGAAGTTTAATGAGTCTCTTTGTTTTTGCTAGAATACAAGATTTTCAGCCAAAGAGAATAATCAGAGGTCCCTATAAAAGTCAGCTGACTCTTCACCAATCACATTAAAGCTGGGCAGTGTTCATGGGATAAAGGAAGATGGAAATACACAGTATTCTTCCATTTGTGGTTGTCTGCCGATTTTATTAATTTGTAAAATTTTACTAACTTTATTTCTAAAACAAAGTTTCATGTAGCCCAGGCAGGCTTTGAACTGGGTAGCCAACGATGGCCTTGAACTCCTGACCCTCCCACCTCTACCGCCAAGGGCTGGCATTACTTATAAGTGTGCAGGACCACACGCAGTCCCTGAAGTCCCTTAGTTAGTCAGGCACTGGGCTACATGCCCGCCCTCATAGCCACTCACTCCATAATTCTAAGAGGCCCCGAGTCCTGCTTAGACAACATCCACAGCACCCCCTGGAATTCTGCAGTATAGAACCGGTTGGGGGTGTGTGGATCAAACAAGGATTAATTAGGCAGCCAGTCTTTATTTTATTCTAGACTTTATTTTTTATTATTGTGTATGGCGTATGTGGAGGTCAGAAGGATCGGTTCTCTTCTCCATGAACCCCAGATCAGGTCCTAAGTTTACACCACAAACACTTCCACTCGCCAGCACCTCCCTGGCCCCACACCTGAGAACTTGTGGAGTTAGCTCTCTCCTCCTACCTCTGTGTGCCTTCTGGGGATTGAACTCAGTGATAAGAAGACCTCTAGTGGGCGGTGGTGGTGCACGCCTTTAATTCCAGCACTCAGGAGGCAGAAGCAGGCGGAGCTCTATGAGTTTCAGGCCAGCCTGGTCTACAGAGCAAGTTCCAGGACAGCCAGGACTCCACAACACAGTGAAATCCTGTCTCAAAAAGCCATCTCACCAGACTGCATCAGGGAATTTGAGCTCAGGAAAGTACCTTTTAAATAAGTTTTCCAGGTTATTCCGATGCAGCCAGCTCAGCAATGACCTGTGGGCCGGCACCACTACATGTTCAGGTCACCATGGAGACACACACTCCCACAAGGTGGTGTTTTCCATCATTCCCATTTTACTGATGAGTAAATTAAGGCCCCATGGCTACAGGGAGAGAGAGCAAACACAAGGTAGCCTGGCTGCAGAGCCTGTGCTATGTACGACATCTCAGAAATACGGTGTGATGTGGTGGTAATCTAATTGTATTGAAATATTATTTTGATTTGTGTTGAAATATTAATTTGATTGTATGTTAATAAATAAAGTTGTCTGGGGGTCAGAGCTATTAGAGCCATAGCAAGAGTGTGGCGGTGGTGGCACACGCCTTTAATCCCATAGATATCT